ACCGGGCCAATCAAAACCACTTTAGATCCCTCAATTCATCACTCGCTTCATGGACCAATCATTTCTTTTTCAGATTTCAGAAGTCCCAGAACTCCTCCAAGTGATTAACCGCATTTATAAAAGAGGGGAAAAGAACAAAAGCCCACGACGATTAGAGCTCCATCCCTCATCTTCATGATGAAGGACAGAAAGCAGTCAGAGTCTGAGCAGCTGAAGCAAAGTGGGAGACGACACACAGACCTCAGCAGGGAAATAATCTGCACCGACTGTCTTTTTGATACCAGAGCGCTGCTTCTGTTTCAGTTAGAGTCAGAAAATCCGAGAACATTCATCTTCCTGCTTTTAAACACAGCGTCACAGGAAAGGCCTGTTTTCACTGGGAAGGGTTGCAGCTGTGCTCTGATTGGTTTTCAGTTAAAGACTTAATATGACCAGATGATGGCGCTACAGAAAAAGTCAGAAGGTCACAGAAACTGCGAGTCACACGGTTCGTAAAGAGGGCGTGGCTACAGGGTTGTTGGTGATCCCTCTCCCGTTACTGGGACTCAGAGTGGCGAGATAAAATGATGCTGGATTACATGCGCGCCTCATTTCCTGTAAATCCCTCGTGCACCCAAAAGCAATTTGAATCCAGCGCACAATCAGATCGCTCCCTCGCTACCGCTGAACGTTAGAGGCTATAAAATCAGGATCTGGGTTTTATGACCTGTTATTACTTTATTAAACTTGTTGTAAAGGCTTGTTTCATCCAGACAAACAGGTTCGTTAACGAGCAGCTGCATGTTTGTCACGTTTGCTCATTAGCATAACTGATGCCCGTTCATTCCTGCTGTGCGCCATTTGTGGCTGAGTTTCGTTCACAAAGCTGAAAGTAAACAGCAGAAACGAACCTTGCAGAGCTTCACGGGTTCTGCAGCTGCAGATCCAACAGCAAACTAGGCAGAGTCAGCACGAGGACATCGGTGGATGGACAGGTAAATGCTGTAGCTAGGTTCAGATTAGCAGCAAAACCAGCGCGTCAAACAGAATCACAATAAAACGTTCACGAAACTTTTGGATTTTATGTAATTTCAGGCTTGAGTTCATGTTTCTGATTACAGATGTTTGAAATCATAGCAAACACAAACACACACACACACACACACACACACAGGTGTTCACATACATCTCCAGGTAAAATGTGTCTGTGCATGCTGAGTTTACTCCACAGTCTGAACTTCAGTGGTGTGCGGATTGATACGGAAATATTGGTTTTAGTCATCTGGGTTAAATTTAACAGGAACAGAGTGGAACTATTTTATTGGGACTGTCTAAAGGATTAGTAGGAACTACTTCTTCTTCCACCTGTGAAATACGTCTGTATCAATGCATCAAGGCTCGTGCGTGCTCGCTCACTCTGTTGATCATCGTAAGCAGAGTCGTGTTTGGAGCTGTGTCAGCAGCAGGTTTGTGACACGTGTGGCGAGCGCTCAAACCTCGTCAAACACAAACAAAAGTAAATCATAGCACAGGATATGATGATGAGTTTGTGATGAGGCGACCTGATGAAGAGGAGGAGAGGAACAGGTGAGGAGACAGCTGTCGCTCGCCGAGTCCTGTGGTGCTGAAAGCAGGAACGATCCAGGCGCACGGGGAGAAAGCGTGGAGCTGCTGGCAACGAGTAGAACTGTTGCTGAATTTGGGAAAGTGCCTTAGGTTTTTGTTTTTTGTTTCTATGTTTAAGTGATGGGAATTCGCCGCATCCTCAAAACTACAGATTCCCATTTGTTCAAAATGTAGAGCTTTTAAAGTGGATTAAATAAGCTAGGTATCATTAAAATATACAGGGTTTTTGCAGTAAAACAGTTACTGTAGTATTTAACAAATAAAAATAACTCAAATATGTCATACATAACATAAATAATAACATATAAAATGTTTCTCAGCTTTTATTTTCAATCACATTTGGCTCTCGGTGTGGAGGGTTTGAATCTGCTGCAGCAAGTTTTAGCTGTGTGAGATTTTTCAGCCCAGCCTCACACGTGAAACAAGACCATTACTGACCTTATTTCAAGACTCTGACTAACAGTGGCTAACAGTGGCTAAGAGTGGCTAACAGTGACTAACAGTGGCTAACTGTGGCTAACAGTGGCTAACAGTGACTAACTGTGGCTAACTGTGGCTAATAGTGGCTAACAATGGCTAAGAGTGACTAACAATGGCTAAGAGTGACTAACATTGGCTAACAGTGACTAACAGTGGCTAACAGTGGCTAATAGTGGCTAACAATGGCTAAAAGTGGCTAAGAGTGACTAACAGTGGCTAACAGTGACTAACAGTGGCTAACAGTGACTAACACTGGCTAAGAGTGACTAACAGTGGCTAACACTGGCTAAGAGTGGCTAAGAGTGGCTAAGAGTGGCTAAGAGTGACTAACAGTGGCTAACTGTGGCTAACACTGGCTAACACTGGCTAACAGTGACTAACACTGGGTAACTGTGGCTAACAGTGACTAACAGTGGCTAACACTGGCTAACAGCAGCTAACAGTGACTAACACTGGGTAACAGCGACTAACACTGGCTAACAGTGACTAACACTGGCTAAGAGTGACTAACATTGGCTAACAGTGGCTAACAGCGACTAACAGTAGGAAGAGACCGCACAGTAATACAGGTAAACCCCAACAATCAGTGTAGGAAGAACCTGGCCACAGCAGGAAGGAAAAACTCCCTTTTAACAGCAAAAAACCTCCAGCAGGACAATCCTTAGCTGAGTTCCCCTCTCCTTTGTTTGGAGTTCTGACCTTGATTATACTCAGTTTAGTCTTTAGGGTTTTTAGTCATAGTCTTGTCTCCCTGTTAGGTGTACCTGATATATCAGAATCAGAATACTTTATTAATCCCTAGGGAATTTATGTATGTTATATCACTTCCTGTTTTATTTTGTTAACCCTTTCAGTTTAGTTTCTCCAGCTGTCTCCACCTGTGCTGTTCCTTGTGTATCTCTGTGTCTTCAGTTTCTCATCTTCTTTGTTGGTGCGTTTGATATAAAATACTGTGATGCTTCTCGTTAGTTTGTTTTTCTGCTTTCGTGTTTTACCGTTTGGGCTTTGTTTTCCTGGGACTGTCTCCACTCACTCATTCAAAGTACATTTTGTGTTCACGTTGTGCCTCCCTGTGTTCAGGCTGCATTTCGGGTCTAGATCCGCACTCCACCACCACACAAACCTCTGACATCATCGTGTGAAATCAGGGATCCAGAAAAATAAAGACTCTCGCCTCCACCATCAAATCAACCAATCCAAACATCTTCCAAACTTGTTGTTCCAGTCAGTCATTGCTGGATATTCCAGACCGGGATAAAATGCTGGGAGTGCTAAAGTTGACTTTGAATATATTTTAAGATGACGTCCAGCAGTGCTGCTGGTTTTCTGATATTCAATCGGACCTAGAAACAAAGTGATCCTTTCCCAGCGTTTGTTCTGTGCACTGAAAAAGTTTGAACAAGCCAGCAGGAGCAGAAACCACCCACAGTTCCTGTCTGTGTCTCACATTTATGAGCAAGGCTTTAGAAAAACTCTGGAACAAACAGAGCGGTCGGTGTAGGTCAGGCAATAAAACTCAACAGCATTATTTCCCACAGGCCACATTTTTCTTTATATGCAATCCATTACCTGAGCTAAAACTTAAGGACGTGAAACTTTATTCGGGTAATATCAGAGTTCACACAGGAGTGGGAATTTCCTGCGTCCCCTCCCAGAGCTGTTCACTCAGCTCTGGGAGCGGCGATAGCAGCGCGACCATTATTTGAAGCGAGCCGGGGAACAGAACCTGACTTTAATTGATTTGCGTT